ACGTTGATTCGACAGATAAAGCGAATAATTTCTCCCCACATTATAATATAGAAATGCATAATTAACATCGTAGGGACGAACGGTCAGTGGATCTGAAACGTCAGCTCTGTTTCTCTTCAACGATGCTGCCAGGCCTGCTGAGTTTCTCTACCAATTTCTGTTTTGTGTCAGATTGCCTGAGTTCTTTGTTTTAAGTTAACCTGCACGACGTTTGGGACAAATCAGATTGGCTGCGAGCTCCTGGTCAGTCAGAAGTGCTGTCACCACGATAAATTCAAAACTTCTATTCTCTGAATGGGAATCAAGCCTGGGCCGTGGTAGTGAAAGCGCTAAATACTAACCCCCAGACCACCAAGAAACACAGCAGAGAGGCTCGTGTCTTTTCTTAATGACGCTGCTTTTGCGTTTTCATTTCTGATCATATTCGCTGCAGATCGGTTTCTCCGTCTCTGAGTTTTTAACAGCATGGAAGAAGACCATTTGGCCCATCATTTCAGTGCAGCTCATCAAACCTCCATCCATTCTAGTCCCAGTTTCCAGCATTTGGCCCATAGCCTTGTGTGCTTTGACTTTACGAAGGCAAATGTCAATGCGTTTATCCCTGTGATGTGAAATAACACAACAAATGGGCCTGGAGTTTGAGATGGTAAAACTGTGTTAATGCCCCCTTGAGGAACTCATCCTCATTTTCACCCACAGAGGGAGACACAGGTGCACATCCCTGAAAGTGACAGAGACCTCAGGATTATACCTGCTCCATGTCCTTCACGTCGGCTCTCCGTCCCCAGGCACAAGCTTCAGCGATAAAAGGCAGCTTTAGGTGGAACACAAGCAACTTCTCCGGGCAATGAGAACTGTTTCCGTGAGCTGGGATATAAAATGGATAGTGAGCTGAAATAGTCTCACAGGCTGCTCACGTGCAACTTTCCATTTGGAATACTCACCGACCCAATCACTGCAGGACCTCAAATCATGTGAGATTTTATGCTTCTTGCTCTCTAAAAGGCAATGATTGGCATATGTCCCTCTTAACCGATTCGGGTGAAATAATCGTCGGCCGCCTCTCCTGTAATACCTTTCCCAAACAAGAACACAATGAGCAAATCCCTTCCAGATCTCAACCGTAGTCGGCGATATTCAAACAGTGCAGAGTGAGCCAATTGATTTATAGTCCAGCGCCTTAACCACTCGGCCACGACTATACACGCTGCATCGGAGGCTCTGCTTTCCAGGTCTCTCTCTGTGTGGAGCTGAGGAAGAGTGAATCATGACTCGGTTTGTTTGAATCCAATCACTTCTCAGATTTCTAAAGGGTTAAACTCAGTACATGGTAGATCCGGCTGTTTCATCCCAACAGATGGGATAAACATTCATTTAAAAACAAAAACATAAATTTCAGGAAAAGCTCGGCAGGTCTGGCAGAGAATCAGTGCCAACGTTTCAGAACTCTGTTTTATCCCACAGGGACTGCCAAACCTGCTGAGTTACTACAGCAATTTTTGTTTGTCTCATTGTCCCGTAGCCGAGATGAGATTTGAATTCCTGATGTGCAGGAACGAGAATCTTTTCAATGTCACAAGTCAGTTCATGTCCCGAGAACATCAGAGTCAATGTCCCAGCCTTTAAAAGAAGGGGCAGGTGTCTTCACTGTTTGTGCTCAGTCGGAAATTTCACTCTTCATTCTCCTGTGATTCCGGTTTCCAAGAGTTTCTAAAGATTCAAAAAGCTGGAGACTGGGTTTTCTGTTTTGCTTCCTTAACATCGCCCCACCCTCCACTTCCAACTGTCAATATTTTCCCAAAATCTCTTCACAATCCTCCGCCTTGCAACATGTCCAGGGATGAGGAAATCCCGTTTAGTGGAGTGATTCCGGAGATCGGAAATGTTCTCTTTGGAGCAAAAAAGTTTAACCAGAGATTTCCTATTGCTGTTCACAGCATTGGGAGAGGGAGTGGCGGGAATAGGCGGTGTGGTGGTCGGGAGAAACTGTGGCCACTGACCAGGGTCAGTTACCAGAGGACTGCAATTCAAGATTTTAATGCAAAACCATTTATGTAGATTAAACACGGAGAACACTGCAGAAACTCAACACGTTTCGTGGTACCTGTGGAAAGAGAAACAGAGCTAAAGTTTTGAGTATGGTAAGTTTCTTGTTCAGAACGCGTGTTTCCTGAAGGTCAACAAATGACCAGACTCTCCGGTGGGTTGCTGAGACGGATTTTCTCGAGTTTGAGCGATGACTCATTGATCAGAAGGTTATTTGAAAAAAAAAACATACGTGCTCAGGAAACGTAGTCGGCAGGATTCGAAAAGGCGTGGGGAAACCCCAATGGGCTTCCCAACCATCACCTTAACCACTCAGCTACGACTACAGGTAACAGACACGGTTTTAACTTTTGGAATGGGTTTAAAATGAAAGAGGAGCATTTGGCTTGTCTTGTCCGTGCCACAACTCTTACATTTCTTGTCATCCTGTACTTGATCAGAACGGAGATTGAATTGAAATACATTATTGAGAAATAGAGTGAATGGGAAGAATCCATTTCTATGAGCAGAGAGATTAATAGATCAATGGATTGAGAAAGAAAGATGTATTTGTATTTTGAAAGCGCCTTTCACCACCATCTCAATCACAACCAACGGAGTACTTTTGAAGCAGATTCTTCATTGGCCAATCTAATCTGCAAATCAGGGTAGTTTGTTTAACCATAGGTCAAAAACGAAACTGTTTCAAATACTCACAATTGGCGCTGGATGTGCCAGTGAGTTCATAACTAACTTTGGGGGTTTGCTGTGCTCTGATTTACACCCGGGTGCGTAATCTCAGGGGAAGGCGTTGCCCATTTAATACAGAGATGAGGGGGATGTTCTCCCATTCAGACAGTAACAAATCTGTGGAATTCTTCCAAAAGAGTTCTGATAAGGCTGGGTGTATTCAAGGCTGAGATAGACAGAGATTTAGTCATTTAGGGATTCAAAGGCGACTGTGATAAGGCAGAAAAGTGGAGTTGAGGATGAGCCATGATCTCATTTAAAGATGTAATTGACTTGATGGGCCAAAGGGCTTCCATCTGTCCCAATGACTTATCTGTCATTTGAAAAATGCGAAACAATTGTAAAGGAAGAAATAAAGGTCGTTTATAAAAGGTTATTGCAGTCAAACACAGTCAACATCGTTTGTTGAAAGGCAAATCACACTTGATAATTTTGCCAGACTTCTTTGGTAATATTACAAGCACAGTTGATAAAGGCAAACGGCAGATGAAGTGCATTTGAATTTTTAACAGGCACTCAATAAGGAGCCATATCTCAGGTCATTGCACAAGGTCGGGGTTTACGCTGTTAGGTATACATGAGCATGGGCTGCCCATTGTTTAATTAACATAAAATACAGAATCGGGATTCATGGGTATTTTTCAAGTTGGAAAGATATGATTTGTGGAGTGTCAGAATGGTCAGTCATAGGGCTACAATTATTTATCTCTGTATTACTGACTTGGAGGAAGTGCCAGAGTGTAATGTGTTCAGTTTTGCAGAAGATACGAAATAGGCGGAGGGTATGTTGTGATGAGGATATGTGAATCTGCAAAGGGATATAGATAGGTTGAGTGAGTGGACAGAAACTTGGCTCATGCAGTTTCATGTCGGCAGTGTGAGTTCTTGTACTTTGGTAGGAAGAGTCAAAAGGTAGACTACTATTAAAATCGAGAGAAATTTCCAAAAAGAAAAAGGGAACAAAGGAACCTGAGTGTTCTTGAGCATGAAGCAAACAAAGGTGAATGACATATTTATTTTTCTGGCAAAAAATGGTCTCCTTTCC